ATATGATGTGTCGACCGTGTTAAAGATGATACGATGGAAGAGTCGGGCACGGGCTGGGCGTCCACTGCGCACGCGTGGTTCGTCAATTTTCTCACAGATCGTTAGAAGGGCGAGGAAAAGTGAGAAAAAGAAAGGACGGACGGAGTGAGAGTTTACATATTCAGATGTTCCTAAAGAAACGAACATACGCATAGGCACACAAACTCATAGAAGAAAGAATAATAGATTGATGTACGTATAGATATTTCTAACACATGACTAAAGTAGCCATTCTAAATGTACTCAATAAAGATCGTACTTAATTGGCTATCGAATCAACCACAATAGCCTCATCACAATTCCAATACACTATATATATATATATATATATATGGATTGTTTGGAAGAGCTCTTCGTTATAGAACCTAGAGTTTAAGCGCAGTACTAGACTGGCGCCGAGATCTCATTAATTTACAGTTGAGCTGGCTAGATGTAACCGTAAGTTCCATGCTAACAGTTTCTTTTATCGCACTTCTCGCTTGTGGAATTCCCTTACGGCTCCATGCTTTCCAGTCAACTTTAATCTGCAAAAATTAAAATGCAGCGTGAATCGGTATCTACTCTCCACCTGATTATTCTCTTCCCCTTGCTGCCTAAATACACAATATATATATATATATATATATATATATATATATATATATATATATATATATATATATAAAAGAATATATTAGACTATAAAAATCAAACCAAAAATTGAAGAAAAACATAGCTATAACTGTGTTATAACGATAAAAATACTACGTTACTTAAACATCGAAAACCGAAAAGAGTAAATAAAAATATACAGTATAATAAGTAAATAATAAAAAACAAGTAAAATAAATTAATCTGAATTAATCTAAATAAATAAATAAACAAACTAACAAACCGATCCCAATAAATTAACTGTTAGAAAAAACAAGTAAAGCTAATGAATCAATAAATAATCCAAATAAATAAATAAAGTAATAAACAAATTAAGAACTGCTCCTGCCAAAATAATAGAATAAACTACAGCAATCAACCCCAAAATTGAATAAATAGCTTTAATTATCTTCTCAAACCAAAACAAAACTATTAAATAAACGATATAAACAAATTCTTACTACGTTAATAACACATCGATTAAAAAAAATAAGTAAATAAATATATAAGATAAATAAAAATAAAAAAATAAATAAAAACAAGCAAGATAATTTAACCCAAATATATAAATAATAAATAAGCAAATAAACGACTTCCGGTAAAATAACTGCCAAAATAGACTACCCACAATGCACCACTGACCCGTATATATAAATAGCCGAGAAAATAAACAACACTCGTGGCTTGACGATTGCATCTAGCATGGAACAGCCTGTCGCCTCTAAGTGTTGACTTCAATGTTCACTTTTATACTTTACTTTTTCACTTTAGGTGAAACCTTGGTAGGTTTGTCTGGCTTTTTTAGGTTTAACTATATATATATATATATATATATATATATATATATATATATATATATATATATATTACTATAAACTTTTAGTGGGTACACGTATGTATCGCTATTTTTTAAATTTTCTAATTTAGTGAATCTAATAACAACCAGGCCCAAAAAAAACAAACCCAGATGAACCAGCAACTCAAATACGCCAGCTAACTAAAAATAACCTGTATATTAATGATAATGGTAACATTAACCGTTTCCTTATAAGGAAACATTTGACATTCATAGACCGACCAGTACAGCTTTCGATTGTAATTTATAAAATCTTTCTCTTATAATAATTTTTCAGGAAAATATGTTTTTTTTTCAAGTACGTTAGCTGTTATCACTGTCTCCAGTATTGAAGGGGTTTTTCCTTCCTAAACTTTTGTAGTGTGGAATGTCAGCATCTTGATTATGTCATTATTTTCTCTTCGTGTTATATGTACAAGTCCCTTTTAGTTACTGCTGCGGTTGAATATCCTCATGTGGTGTCGTTTCTGTTATTTGGTACAATACTTTGGGATTCTGTAACATTATGCATTAAAATAAGTAACCAATTAATCGTCATCGGCTGGCTGAGAGTAACTGACGGAATATAGGAATAAATTAAATATTAAGTAATAAAGATTGAATCTGGTATTGATTATTTAATCGATCACCTCCCACTTCTTCATAGACAGGTATTGATCAGATTATATTTACACTGTTGTTCAATCAATACCCAAGAGTCATCCAAGGAAGATGCTTAGTGAATAAGTTTATTTTATAGACGTAAGACACTGACAGAAATGAAATGTAATGAGATTTCTTTCGTACTAATGAAATACAAAGGGAATGAGGGTGATTCACCTCTGTGGGTGTGGCTTTAAGGGTTTTAACAGATTGATCTAAGGAATGTAGAACGTCAGAAGATTTTCCATTGAAGATAACAGTAGAACTATCAAAAGGCTTGCAACTTTTCGTCTGCGGGAAAGGGAGTTGCAGGGTGAAAGATAATTCCTCACTCGCAAAGTAGATTAGACGCTTTTGGACTTACAAAGTGAGGGTTGAATAGATTCAATCCAGATATGACTTCAATACTCTATTTTTGGTATGATATCACTCTTGGAAATCTATAGCATGCCAGGAGGAGTCTGGTAGTTTTTGGGGCGGTGTAAGGAGACGACCATTTTTCCAGGATTTTTAGCGATATATATGAGTTTCATTGGAGGTTTGGGTTGAAGTCCCAATGCTCAAAGCAAGGAGCTTCATTGAGAGCACAATCATTCATCGTAACTGGAGTTAATTCAGGATCTGCTTGGTGATGATGCAAATATATAGCTTGATCTTATCCTACCATAATCGCCTACCCATACATTCGAACTAATTCAGAAGGGATATTAGCTGACAAGTTCTGGCCATCTAAATCATGGAGTCAAAGTTTTTGACGATTCTGCAAACTTCTCATGCCATGATGGAGATATCACAAGAGTTGTCCTACGCGTGAATGGAGAAGTTAGGTACGGGGTGACCCTTGTCGTCTAACGTATTGAGACAAAGATATAAACAGATAGGACAGACAAACAGATAGCTATAGATATAGATAGATGGATGCAGTTTATATCTCCCCCTATTGTCTTTCACACATACACACACACACATATATATATACACACTTCTATACACGCACACATATATATACACACATATATATACACACATATATATACACACATATATATACACGCACGCACGCACACACGCACGCACACACACACACATATATATATATAAATAAGAGACAGACATAAGGAAGTATATAAACATTGTATGTATAATAACTATATTAATATTTTGTCTATTATATATATATATATATATATATATATATATATATATATATATATATATATATATATATATATATATATATATATATATATATATATATGTGTGTGTGTGTGTGTGTGTGTATGCATGATATAACGATATACAATTTTGTATGATTTTTGATATGACAAACCGTATTAAGAAAACTATGAGAAACTGGAGAATTTCTAAATTTTGTAACTACCTGTGTCTCTCGATTCGTGCGCATGTGCAAACGTGGCAACACCAACAAAGATCAGTCTGATGAAATCCTAACGGATGAAACTCGTCACAAATAACCTTTCCAGTTGTCATATATATATATATATATATATATATATATATATGTGTGTGTGTGTGTATATATGCACGCCCATATGTATGTATGTATGTATAAAGTGAGAGAGAGAGAAAGCCAGACAGGTATAAGACAGACATATTATAATAGATAGAACTCTTCGGAAGGACGAAGTCACATGTCATCGTGGCTGAGGGTTTCACTGTACTGGGAGTGTTTAAACTGCTGATCATGGCTTATTATGCACTCTCTTCTAATGCCCGCTGACCACAGTTAGAGGTGGGCTGTGTGAGTGTTGAACAGACACAAATATGTTTGAGCAGCTGTCTAAGATAGAGATTGGCTGGCTGCCCGAGCGGACTAGTTTGCTCTGAAAACGAGAATAGCCAGATATTATATAAACAGACTGTGTCAAAGAGATAGATGATTACATAATACTTATATTAGACAGGTGCTGAAAAGTTATCGACCAAATTCACTTTTCAAAGTCTGGCCAAATGATCAAACCTCAGAACTGATATTGGAGGGGCTTTTTTTCAGTTGGGCGGAGAATCTTTCTACTTTACCTCCCTACAGGAACCGACATATGTTGATAGATACATAATACTTATATGAGAGGGCTCTGAAAGTTTATTATTCTAAACACGTTTCAAAGTCTGGCTAAAGGACCCAACCTCAGGACTAACCTGGAAGGGCTTTTTGATCGGGCGGAGAACCTTTGTGGTTTACCTCCCTATAGGAACCAAGATTGATATGGATAGGCTGAAATACCTATATACACGTACTAATCACCACAGGGGTAGATATGAACAGATGCAGCGTGCAAAAGATGTGGCAGACGGAGGAAGGATTAGCTCCACATTGACTTAAGAAATCGACGAAAGGAAAGAAAGTGAAACTAAATATCGGGGAGTGACAGACGGCTTAAGCAAGTTATATTCATATGATCGATGGAGACGAGATTCTTTTAGTGGGTGGGGATAAGATAAGGACGCCTTGGGATGGAGGTTTGATTAAAAGATACTACTCATCCTCTTCTCTAATATCTCCCCTTAAATGTCTCTTTCACTAATCGTTGCTTCATTTTTCTTTTTAAAGTCTACCTTGCAGAGTCCTTCCCAAATTGGACGTTTCATGATCGTTACTTTCTTTCCTTATATAACTCAATAAATTTTAGTTATCTTGGCGTAGATTCAATTATGGTGTCTAAATCTCCCCCGTCCTGCTACCCAGAGACAGGAATTACTTGCGTCCGCTTCTCATTCCCCTACCAACCGATTTAACCGATCCCCACCCCATGGGAAATCTCTTAGTGTCGAAATGGGAATGATAGGACTACAGAAAATTGATTCTAATGTGTCATCGGATGGCCAAGGATTGGATTCGACTGTCACAACTCACTGCCATTCGATTGGCGCGAATACTGAAAGAGAATAAATAGAGGGAGACGAATGAAATAAGAATGCAGAGTAGAGAGAATAAAAGGTGTGAGAGAGAAGGAGAGTGATATAGAGATAGATTAAAGAACAAATAAAGATAAGGAAAAGAGGAAAACAGAACAAAAGTGAAAGAGAGAAAATAAAAGAGAGAAAAAGAGAAGCGAAGTGAGAGAGTGAGAGAGTGTGAGAGTGAGAGAGCAAGACAGACAAAGAAAACGATATCAAATAAACCGAGAGAAAGAACGAGAAATAGAAGAAACGAAAGTGAAAAGGGCGTGAGAGATAGAAGTAAGGAGAGAGAAGGAAGGAGAAAGGGAAGGAGGGAAAAAGAGAGAGACGGAGAGAGGAAATAGTGTATGGAATGATTGAAAAGGTAGAGAGAAATAGTAGAAAGAGAGAAAGAAAGAGTAAAGAGCGAAAGGAGAGAGAACGAAAGTGAGAAAAAAGAAGAAAAAGAGTGAGAAGGAAAAGCAATTGGGAATAGAAAGGGACAATGAAAGAGAGATAGATAGAGAGAGAGTGGAATTAGAACTAGGAAGAGAGAGTAAGAAGAGAAGAAAAGGTAGAAACATTAATGTGTCAAAGACAGTGAGAGGGAGACAGCGAAAAAGAAAGCGCAAAAATCCAGAGTAAAAATATACACCGAGAATGAGAGAGAGAGAGAGAGAGAGAGAGAGAGAGATGGAATAAAAGATAGAAAAAGAAGGAGAGAAAAAAAAAACTCTAAAAGAGGCAGAAGGAGGATTGAACTCGTTTCTCCCTTATTACCCTCTGCAAATTTTCATGTTCCCCACTTCAGTTTGTCTTTCCGCTTATCATCCTACCCTCAATCCATCAACACCATTTTCCTACCATTCTCGAGGGAGTAATGTTGCAAGTCATTGCCCCTCCTTCCGCTCGCCTCTTGCAATAAGGACATGTGACTGCACACGTGGTTTGCCTACGAAGTAGCGTAAGGATGAACACACGCACACACGCAGGGAAACAGACACACGCACACTTGTCCACTTGCATCAAGTGTGCATATCTACAAGTTTTATGTGCATAAACACGAAATCGACATATCCAAGAAGACATCGTCTTTGACACTGTTAACAACATTGACACGAGAAGGCGCTATTAACGTGATAACAACACCGTAGACAGTCGATAGCTGGAAGTCGGAAAACTCAGCGAAAAATGGTGTGATTAATTCGGCCACTTAATAGCAGTGATTTTTTAATGGTAACCAAACCAGACGTTTCCTGATTATGAGCATTTTTTTCTACTTGTGGGTGCTTTACCATTTCTCACCTACTTTGCGATCCAAGAAAGCGTCCTCTTTTTCTTTTTCTTTTTCCGATCTATCAAGGGCAACGCAAGAGTTCAGGAAATTTCACCATAGAAAAAAAAATCTCCTCGATTTTACCGTTTCTTTGGCAGCATGTATATAGCAACCTTACAATGGGCACCACTCAAAAGGTCTAGCGACAAATGTTGGTAACACACTGGGTAGCAACTTGTATCTTCCTATAAACTGTGGGAGTTTGAGTCTAATAAGTTGGAGGTCATCCGATGGTTGAATGTGTTCTTAAACTCTCCGATTTGTAAAGATTATGGAAGACGTGCTCAGATTTGATCGGCTATGAATTCGTTATTTGCCATTTTGCTATTTACGTTGTAGTCGATGATAAAACGGCCTGAGCCATGTGACAGAAGAATCTCTATTCTAGTCTATTTATTTATCTACCATTTTGTTTGTTTTCTTTCTTTCTTTCTTTCTTTCTTTCTTTCTTTCTTTCTATACATATCAATCGATCTATCTGTCTGTCTACTTTTTAATCTGTTTATATCTAGCTATTTCCTCTTTCTTTTTTCTATCTGTTCCTATTTATGTATACATCTTTCTATCTTTTCTTTCTCAGCTTGTTCATTATCTCTCTCTCTCTCTCTCTCTCTCTCTATCTATCTATCTATCTATCTAAATTAGCTAACTAGCGAGCTAATATTTCTCTTTCTTTCTTAGTCTGTTCATATCTATCAAATTAGCTATTTCTTTTCTTTTCTTTCTTTCGTTCTTTCTTTCTTTCTTTCTTTCTCAGTCTATTCATTATCTATCTATCTATCTATCTATCTATCTATCTATCTATCTATCTATCTAAGTTAGCTATCGAATTAACTAGCATTTCTTTTTTCTCCATCTTTTTTTCACTTATTTTCCATTATTTTCTTTATCTATCGTTATCATTTGTCTATCTGTAGATCAATATATCTTTGTCTTTTAATAATCTTGGGCTTTTCATATCTATTGGCACAGGGGGATTTTTTTCGTTATTAATCATAAAATGTTTCACATAAATACATTTTATTTCTGTTACACGAGAACTAAGAATATATTCTGGATGCAAAATACAATGTTTTATGCCACTGTATGCACATCTATGTATAAATTTTGCTATTTCTGGCTTAGGTCAATTGAAAACACATTTATGCACGAATTTACTTGAATATCCAGCAGTTTGCCTGAGCTTTGCATACATGCAACGATATGGCTACTTTCGCCCAGTTAAAGTGTCACTTCTTCGTTCGCGCATGCGTGAATCAACGTGCTTGTTCAAGAAGCTCGGAGCGTAAAGAAGTCTAATGATTTGGCAAGTGTTTCCCGAATACTATAGCGCATGCGTATAATATCGTGTATTTAGACGGTGACTTCGCATTGTTATGTCTAAACATTCACCTGTGTCCAGAGAGCGCAATTACATGCAATTAAAAGCCGAATAAAGATTGCATCTCAGCTGCCGATAGAAAAAAGTTGAAAGAAATATTTAAGAGTTTATCACATGACTTTAAGCCAAGTAAGGAAGCAATTTTGATTTCACATCAAGAATTATGCAAGGATTTTCATTTTTTTTATAAGTTAATAAAGCCACGAAGACGCAAGTGATTACTGAGTATAAAAGGATATGATTTGATTTGTTTAACGGCATATCAACTTCTTATGGGTCAGTTAATGTTGGAATTTAATTTTCTTGGGAGCTTTGGTAATTTTTTACTATTAAAATCTATTCCTGGAGATTTATTTTACTATTAAAATCTGTTGCTAGATTTTTTTTACTATTAAATTCTATTGCTAGAATTTTTCTTGTACTATTAAAATCTATTGCAAGAATTTTTATTTTACTATTAAAATCTATTGCGAGAATTTTTATTTTACTATAAAAATCTATCGCTAGAATTTTTACTATTAAAATATATTGCTGGAAATATTTACTATAAAAATGTATTTTTGATACTTTCATCGTTACTGACCCTAGTCTGGGGGTTAACTATTTGCCCATAGCTGGGACCCTAACAGGTACTACCACCCCGTGTCAGAACCTCCCGATCAGAGGCCCTACTGCCGGATATACTTTATCGTCATATCGAGGACGTAAATGAATATGGAAAAAAAAAGAAAAAGAAAGGTAACAAGAAAAGAACAGGAATTAAGAAAACAGAAAATAACGATTGACATTGCATTTAAATTTTTGAAGATCAAAGTCGATCGGAAAGGGAGATACCAGAAGAGAGTTCCACAAGCGAGAATTGCGAGAGAAGAAACTATTAGCATAGAACTTACACTTCCGTAACCCTTATCAGCGGTGTATATATTCTAAGACGCCTGTTTTCATTTGAAACCGCGGAAAATACCGAACTCTATATATAACTTTATTTTATTTGCATATATAACGATGAAATTTAATTTATGGATTAGGCACAATAAGAGATTTGCTTGTTAATAACTCTTAAACCTCTTTCTGTGTCGTGTCTCTTCAGCGCGTGTGCGATCAAGACTCTCCACAACTTCCTATCGTTTGTGACACTAAACAATGTTTACTCCTTTATTACTCCTCTCTGGAATTTGTAATACTCATAATTGTCTTTCAGAGGCTGAATACTCATCAAAGATTCGCCATTCTTATAGAGAGTAGCAATGTTCTACATATTGATAGTTTTCTCGGACCATGTTCATCGACATACGTATTATGCACCATCAAGATGGTTTTAAAGCCAAATACATAATTTTATCATATAATGCCATCTACACCTAACTGCCATATTGCATTGCAGTTACAGTTGATTTCTCTGGACACCTACTCATGGCGCAAGACTGGTTGGTCGCCTAGCAACCATCTCCATTGACCACGTTTGTTACGACACAGGTTGCCACCATAATGACCTTTCAAACTTGAATCAGGATCGTGATGTTTGACAAGATAGACTCGTGAATGTCCCAGATAGCTCGACCGAATTATATCCTTCTATGTTCATAGGCGTACGTCCATATCAAGTTGAAACACCGGTTCCCATAAAATCAGCGAAGGTAAGCAACGTCGAATCTAGTCACTACTTAGATGGGTGAACGCCTGGGAATGCCAGGTACTGTAAGCTTGGATGTGCAGGTGGTGTAATGGATAATGGCTCGAAATTGTTAATCGCAGAGCTGAGTTCTAATCCCCGTTGGGTTTGTTATATTCACTTACACGAAAATACCATTGGGAAAACTATGGACCCGTCTCTTCTCCCCCCAGCTATAGGTTAATTAGTAAGACTTATATCACTAAAACATTATTATCTAAAAAAAAATAATTACAGTCCCCCAAAATAAATATTTTCTGGCTTTAAATAACCTGTAAAGGGTTGATAAGACGTAAAAATAAATCAACCAACCAAATCTCTGTTCATGTTCTGCCATCCATATATACACAAACTTATTAGGAACGTTACTGTTTCCATTTGTCCCTCTTGCCTCCAGTATATGCTGGGAGTGTTAAATTCTCCAAGCTTTCTTTCCTCATTATGAGTCCCAGAAATTTCAACTGTCTGTTAAGGATTCTTAAAACGGATCTTTTCGTTCCTGCTTTTCTTTAAATGTGTTCGGTGCTTAAATATTCCAATAACCAAAACTACAAAAAATGGTACTATATATTTTTAAAATTCTTAATATTCTTAGAAGAATTTCATGTGTGATTCCTTAAATATATTTTCTAATTATTGTTGCTCTAATCTTTCATGAAGTCGGTTTTTTCTGGCTCGATCAGCATCTTCGAATAATTCACCATTGTCATAATGAATCACAGCCATCGAACATCACCATTATAAAAGAAACTTCTTTTTAATCATTTCACCCTGACCAAGGCAACATAGTCACTAAGACACAGTGGGTTACTGGATGTGAAAGAATATAAGTAAAAGAACGTTATAAAGGAGCAAGAAGAATAAAAGAACAAGAATTAAGAAGATATAAGATAACGATTTTTGAAGTTTTTGAAGATCAAAGTTGACTGGAAAGCAAGAAGCTGCAAGAGATGTTCACAGTTGAAGAAACTGTTAGCATAGAACCTATGGTTATGTCTGGCTATTTCAGCTGTAAAATGATGAGACCTTGCCACCCATCTAGTATCGTGCTTAAATTCATAAATTCTAAGTGCCATAGAGAAAAGTTAATATTTAGTCATAACAGTACGAAGCGAAGGAAGTGAGAAAATGAACACACAATTTTATACGCATGCGCTATGTTATTCTGTAAACACCTGTCAAATCATTAGACGTCTTTACACTCCTAGCTTCTTGAACAAACACGTTGATTCACGCATGCGCTAACAATTATCATGAAAGTATTTATAGAAAAGGCACAGGTAATCTACATTACGACGGAGGGCAAGTAACTGATGACGAGATGCCAGATCAGGACTAATGGCATTACAGATTCTTTTTTTCAGCCGTAAGAGAGTTCAAAAACGAGAAATGGGAAAAAATGAGTGTTAGCATAGAATTTACAATTACATCTATCCATTTCAACTATAAAATGATATGACCTTGTCACTAATCTAATATTGCATTTAACTCCATAGGCTATAAATAACGTAGAAGAAAGTTCAGCAGAATAATTAACATGAAGGTATTTACAGAAAAGACACAGATAAGCTACATTACGGTGGTGGGGAAGCCGAGATGCCAGGTCAGGATCATTGACATTGCAGAATCTTCTTTACATTTTATCAACGATATCTAAATATATAGCAGGAGGACCAGACCATATGTGGCAGCGATATTCAATGCGAAGTTCAATTGATAGATACTACTAATTATCTCCTTCGCGCTGGAGGAATTAAAAATGACAGATATTGGAGGGAAACTACATAAATACACGGCATATGTTAACATATACAAGGTTCTGTAATAAAAATATATGCGAGGTATAAAAGATTCGTTCTTACCGTAGTTATCAGCAATCTCAGCATACGATGCTTTTCATTTTGCTATTTAGTTAGCGAGGCTAGTCTGGTTAACTTAGTAATAAGCTCAATCTTTATTGGATTCCATGAACAAAAAGGCCAAATTAAATTAAGCAGAGAAGTTTGTTATGTTGTAAACAAACCATTACAAAATGTCTGACTACTAATCTTTTCCAGCTTGACAAACTTTTAGAGCTCTCTCTTATCTAAAAAAAAAAAAAGGAAAGGAAACGTCTTAATAACACGCTGGTACCTATTCTTTTTTTTCTCTCGGACGAATAACGTCCCTCTTCTCTAGAAATATATTTTCAGGTGATTTTCGTTATGAAGCCGCTTCACTAGGAATCATCTACAAGCAGCAGTAGTAATGATACTCTTTTCTAAAAACTTGACTTATATCGCAGTATTAAACATTCGTTTCACTAGAAATCTTCATGTTTTGTCATATTCGTCTCTGTAAACTTTCTTCATGTCATGGTATTAATTTATGTATTTTTAGAAACGTTTTTAAAATGATAGAATTAACCCTTCACTTTTCTAGAAACATTTTTAAAGTGATAGAATTAAACACTCAGTTTTCTAGAAACATTTTTAAAGTGATAGAATTAAACACTCAGTTTTCTAGAAACATTTTTAAAGTGATAGGATTAAACACTCAGTTTTCTAGAAACATTTTTAAAGTGATAGAATTAACCACTCAGTTTTCTAGAAACATTTTTAAAGTGATAGAATTAACCACTCCCTTTTCTAGAAACATTTTTCCGGTCAGAGTATTAAGTATTTTCTTCGTCAGAAACCTTTCTTCGATCATACTTTTAATTCATTCCCTTTCTGGAAACCCTCATCCGGTCACAATGTTAAACATCCTGTTTTTTAGAAACATTTTTCAGTTCAGAAAATACAGAAGGTTAAACTTCTGGGAGGTGTTATGACAGAGGATAGAAAATGTGACATTGAAATTCGAACAGGCATTACACTAGCGAAAGATGCCTTCCAAAAACTAAGCAAAATACTGAGATACAGAAAAATTTCGTTAGAAACAAAGACGCCTGAATTACTTTGTGATATCCATCTCCTTATATGGTAATGAATGCTGGATAATCTTCCCATGGATAAGGAGAAAACATGAGGCAGCAGAAATGTGGTTCTACAGAAGGATACTGAGAATCCCGTGGGTGGAGTGAGTAAGCGACGAGGAGTTCTTAAAGAAAATTTTAACGGAAAGTTTTCCAGAATCAGAAAGAGATAGCTGAAATTCCTTGGACACATAATGGGGAAGAAGGGTTTAGAAAACTTACCCCTCACGGGGCATACGGAGGGAAAGAGAAATAGGGAGACCCAGAGAGTAATACCAATGTGTAGGTCGGAAAAAGAAACAAGTTGACTAGAGTTATACACTGGAAAAGGTGTATACATTATATTGAGACAACCAGTATATATATATTTGAACGGATGCTGAAAAGTTCCAACCCAATTTACTTCACAAAGCTCGGAATTTTGTGGGAAAACTTTCCTTGGTTGCACCGATAACGTTTTACCATTCCCTCGTAGATAGATAGATAGATTCACAGGACAGAGGAATCAACGCTGCATGGTGACTGCCAATTTTACACTTCAAACAATCTTTAGACCTGTCAGTTACCATGCAGTGATGCATCCTATGTCCACATTGTAGCTTTAAAGACCCTATATATATATATATATAGATAGATAGATAGATAGATAGATAGATAGATAGATAGATTCTCATGACAGAGGAATCAACGCTGCACGATGACTGTTAGTTTTACATTTCAAACAATCTTCAGACCTGTCAGTTACCATGCAATGTTGCTTTCTATGTCCACATTGTGTCTGTAAACACTCTATCTCCTACGGAAGGTGAAGAACGAATAATTCTATCCCCAACTGTATATATATATATATATATATAAATGTATGCATGCATATCAATATGTAAGTTGAATGGCTAATGAAAAAAAAGGAGTTAAATGATAAAAGAATTTATTTTTCCAACATATCTCTTTCTTTGACAGTGCTTTTAATCCAATGTATCTTCACTAACCTCAGTTTGAAGATTACATATTAAAAAACGTATACACGTTTTGAATATTTCTCAAAAAATAATTCATTCAACTGGAACTAACTCTATTTCATTTAAATAATGCATATGATGAACTTTGTTCAAAGCTAACGCTGGATGACATTAGTTATACTAACATGTGAAAAGAAACCAAGTTGACTTGAGCTATACACTGTAAAATGGTGCCTCCATTTTGTTAGTACACTCTCTATATATTCTAGAAAAAAGGAAAAAATATTATTTATTTGGCTTTAGAGATCTTAAATTAATGTAATTTTCATCTGTACGATTTCAGATATTTCAGAAAATAGCCGTTAAATGTAGCTAAATATTTAATTAAAGCTGGAAATGGAGTAATTAAAATTTAACCAAGTTAAAAATTGCAGATGCCACCATCAAAAAAGTACAGAAGGTTAAATTTCTGGAAAATATTATGACAGAAGATAGAAAATGTAACACCGAAATCCGAACACGTATTGCATTAGCAAAAGATGCCTTTCAAAATCTAAGCAAAGTGCTGAGATACAGAAACATTTCTTTAGAAACAGAGACAACAGTTTGCTAGGATTGAGTTTGAAAGAATTTTTGTCATATCCACCCTCTTATAAGGAGAAAACTGGAGGCAACAGAAATGTGGTTCTACAGAAGGATGCTGAGAATCCTATAGACAGAACGAGTAAACACCGAGGCAGCCTTAAATAAAATGCCAACAAATGAACGCATAGTCGGAATCAGAAATAGCTAAAATTACTTAGACACACAATGAGGATAGAGGGCTTGGAAAACTTAACTCTCACATGGCATATGGAGAGAAAGAGAGATAGGGGAGGTCAGTTAGCCATCTACCAAGGAACTTGCGTCGATGGATAGAGAAACGAGGTGAGAGATTTAGCAAAAAGTAGAAAAAAAACTGCTAAAGGCGACAAGGGATAAGAAGTTTGGTAGAGCCATGCTGGCCCAAGCCCTGAAGGAATACGGTATATAGAAGATGTATTTACCCGATTCTTTTATAGAAATCCTTTTTATCTGGTCACAGTATTAACTACACTCCGCTCTAGAAACATTTTA